TTTTTAATTACCCCGTATTTTTCGCTCCATAAGACGCACAGACTTTCCACCCCCCTGTTTTGTGGGGGAAAAGTGCGTCTTATGGTGCGAAAAATACGGTACATTTGTTGCTGTTACATTGATTGCTGCTTTCAGAATTTTTCTTGTTTTATCTGATCAGAATATCTCATTTTATTTCCTGTATTTAATATATTAGTTAAATACTTGTAGCATATAACATTTTAGTTTTCTTATTACTTAAATAATTTAAAAAATACCATTTTAATATTTGAAAAAGAGCTGAAAACTTTTTTTTTGAGTAAAACCTTATTGTGCGGTTATGCAAATACAGTTAGTCTAAAACATTAAATGCAAATTGCTGTCCACTAAGAAATCTCTGTAGGCATTGTCTGTTGCACAGTGTGTTGCATGACTCCATATTCATCAGATGTCTACAGAGATCTCTTAATTTGGGCAGATTGATTCCAAAAGTTATGCTGTTTGCATGACTGAGCAGCAAAATTTCAGCCACTGAATAAATAAGAAGTAAACAAAGCTGCTAGTCCTGGTTTATAATGGGTAACTAAAAACTAGTGTTCTGGAAGTTTCCAAACATTTCCTCATAGGCAATCTCATTCATTATGTGGTGCACCAGTCTTAAAACAAATATTGCTAAACCACGCATAATAGCAAAGGAAAGACTGCAACTGGTGGACTAACCAAAGTTACTGGAGAACTGAATATAATGGGATTGTAGGCACCAGTGAATCTTGAAAGCTAATTTATACAATGATACTTGACTAATGAGTGCTTCAGCATGAGATCAGGGTGCCTGGAAAAACTGAGTAGCTTGAATGAGGAAAGGTGGAATATCTGAGACACACACACCAGAGTATTTAAAAAGAGGGGGTCAGAACATTACTGCCCTACCTCACGCTGAACTTGATTTCATCATGTTAAAAATGATGGTGTGTGGTGCAAATTGAGTTTTGTAGAATCATGGAATTATAGAGTTGGAAGAGCATTCAGTCCAGCCTCCCTTTTGAAGCAAAACATCCATGGCTAAAGGATCCCTGATCGATTGCCTTCTTTATAGAAATTTCTTTAGCTACTCCACTTCCCCCCTTAACACTGGGATGCTCTTGGTGAGGCACCTGTCCATTGTTGAGCTGCTCTTGCTGTCAGGAAGTCTTTCATAATGTTTAGTCAAAATTTGTTTCCTTGTAATTGGAATCTGTTCATTTGGATCCTGCCTCCGGGAGCTGCAGGAAACGAGCTTGCTGCCTCTTCCATGTGGTAGTCCTTAAAGTATTTGAAGATGGCTCTCAGCATATAAGCTCTCAATTGTCATTTCTCCGGTTTAATCCGTATTGGAAGGTGGTTCTCAAGTTGAAAAGTTCTTATGTTGAATCTGCATTTCCCATAGGAATGCATTGAAAACCATTTAATCCGTATCTGCTCTTTTCCGTCCATAGAAACTACAGTGGAACCTCTACTTAAGAACTTAATCGGTTTTGGAATGGTGTTCTTAAGTTGAAACGTTCTTAAGTTGAAGCAAAATTTCCCATAGGAATGGACTGAAAACCGATTAATCCGTTCTGGCTGTTTTTTTGTTATGTAGAGGTGTGTTCGTACATTGAAGCATTAGTTCCCATAGGAACTAATGCAAAGCTGGTTAATACATACTCTACCACTAGGGGGAGAATTTTTTTTAACCTAAGATGACCTAAGGTTAAAAAAAGAGCAGGAAAGGATTTTTTTCCTGTTCTTATCTTGGATTTCTGTTCTCAAGTAGAAGCAAAATTTAGCAACTGGAGCTGTTCTTAAGTTGGATTGTTCTTAAGTTGGGACGTTCTTAAGTAGAGACCCCACTGTATATAAGCTCTCAGTTGTCATTTCTCCGGGATGCCAATCCTTCCACTGATCCTCATGGGCTTTGGTTTCCAAACTCTTTGCAGTGATGGTTGTCCTTCGCTGGACACATGCCAGCACACCAATGTCCTTCTTGAACTGTGGTGTCCAGAACTGGACTGTGTAAAATCTGACCAAAGCAGACCAGAGTGCCTGATTTCTCTTCTGACCTTATTTTCAAAATTCCAGTGTCATTTTCCGAATGCAAGTTTAGATCCCCAAAGCCCAAAGAACTGTTGGGTATCATATTGATAATGAAATAAAAGTGGCACATCCTTGATCATCTTCTGTACCAGAATTAATGGCAAACCCTGCAGGGCAGTCAAGCGTTTTTCTTTGACGGTATCCACCACTGGCTGGAGGCTGGAGATAATGGGAGAATCAATGGGCTGATCAATAGTTTAACAGGAAATCACTGCTCTGCTCCCAGAATATCAGTGCGCCGGAAGGCACAGGGAAATTGATGCCTGGCAGAAAGGCTAGGTGGTAATTAGAACAAATGCCCTGGGAAGAAACTGGATTGTGCTGGCGCAGGTGGGACTGAAAGAGATCAGGGAAGCTGGGGTATTCTGCAGAGGCTGCTTTTATCCTCCCCCACCCAGCCACCCCAGTAACTTTTATTAACAGATTGTTTTGAATTAGTATATGTGTATATGTTGTTTAGTTTATGCCAGTGAAAATGATGGTGCGTATCATTTGAAATTGGTAAAGGATGTATAACGTGTGGGTCAGAGAACAGGACTGAACATGCCAGCATAGGAGCTGTAGTTAAGTAAGGTAAGCTGAGCATGAAAGTATGTAGCCACTTCTAGGATATTGACAGAGGCACCATGGTACAAGTACTGTTTTTCCCATCTCAGCGAGTAATATTATATACAACTACCTGATAGGTAGATATTAAGCTAGTCCAAGTAACTTTCATTTAGGGGCCTCTGGAAGGCCCTTCCAATTTTATATGCCTGTGATAGTCCTATGAATCCTCAGAGCCACTCTTTAGCTATTGCCACACCCCATAGCCGGGACTACAACTTTGTATGCAAGACAGATTCCAGGACTGAATATTACTGTGAGTCAGTGTTGCAAATCACCAAGTTTGAAGGAGGAGCAGTAACTCCAGATGCGACTGCAGAAATGAAAACACATGGGGCTGATCTGCCGCGGAATTTGTACATGGGACACATGCACCTGCAATATCTGTCTCTTCCCAGCTTTTACAGACTCACCAGCAGAGCAACCAAATACTGGATTTGGGTACTTCGAAGAGATGTTGCTGTTAGACTACTTTTGTTTTTAATTGCCTTTTGATGGACAAAGCTGCAGATTCGGCTAGTGCAATATGAGGTGTAGGGATACCTAGTGTGGTGCAATTGTGGACAGAGTAATGGACTAGGATTCAGGAGGCCTGGGTTTGAATTCCGACTCAGTGATGGAAACTCACATGGGGTATGGATCTGGTAAAGCCAGTTCTTAAATATCTCACTTGCCTTGAACACGCTGTTAGAATTGCTAATAGGTCAGTTCCTGCTTGAAGACACATAACAACAATATGAAGTTTCTTGATTAACTTTTTGTTTCCTCCCCTGAACCCCTGGGATTGCAGTAGGATGGGAAAGGGGTTGTAGCTGACAGAGTCCTTCACTATTGACTATAATAATGTTAGGGATCGCAGTTCAGCATCCGAGGGCCACAGTTTTGCCTTTCCCTGGAGTAGGATTGAAATGAAGCAAGGGCAAGCTGCACATCCCTCTTTTGCACTTTGGTGAATGTGTTCTGTGTGCTCTCATTAGGACCCGTTTAACATACAATGTCCTTGGTATAGTTTCTGAAAAACAAGGAGACAATCTTTGCAGAACAAATAGATTCATAGAATAAGGGAGTTGGAAGGGGCCTATAAGGCCATCAAGTCCTACCCCCCTGCTCAAGGCAGGAATCCGAATCAAAGCAGATCAGACAGATGATTGTCCAATGTTCTCTTGAATGTCTCCATGGATGGAGCGCTCACTACCTCCCGAGGCATTTGGTTCTGTGCTACTCCAACAGTTAAGAAGCTTAATTCAAGAACAGACTATATGGATACTGGTGAAATCCAACATTTTTGTTTGTTTTGTTGCAAGTGCCCATGAGTCGCCTGTGCCTCCCCACCACAGATTGTTTTTGCATTGGTTGGCTTTGGGTTGTGAGCAACACTGGCCCTCACAACTCAAGAATTTTATCTCCATTTTCCTCCAGGAATATTGTTACCTCACTACTCAGCTACAAATCCTAGGGCTTCAGCTTGAGCTGAACCTGCAAAAATCAAGCCTGAAATCAGTTTGTTGTTTCCCTGGAGGGGGTCTGTGCTCCATTTCCAGTTGCTCCAGGTTTCTTTGCCAGCTTTTTGTGGACTTCATAGCAAAGGCATATCTATACTGATCATGTAATGGCAATCCCCCCAGGCAAGTCTCCGACGGAGGGCCACTCTGAGGGAGGTGTCCATGAGGAATCAAACTTTCTTGGTAGTGGCCCCACATCTTTGGAACAACTTTCTCATAGAGAGTCATTAGGCCCCGTCTCTTCCTTCAACCCTTAAAGCAATTACTTAAGACTAGTCTCTTTGAGAAGGCCTGTAGCGAGGTTCTTGCTCTGCATTAACTGGAAGCATGGCTCATCTGTTGTCCCTCTATGTATTTGTGCATATTTGGGATTGTTTGGGTGATGGGGTTGAATTTGGATTGTTGGACGTTTGACTTGGGAGGGAGATTGGAATTTGGAGTCAGTTTGGAGGGTTATGTACATATGATGGTCAACTGCCCAGAGTAGCACTTTGCCCCAAATCAGGCAGCATACATAATAAAATAAAAAAATAACTGAGGAATCTTGATAAGTATTAACAGGATGGTATCTGGGTGATCAGTGGGCAGCTGCCTCTTCAGCATCATATGTAGGAAAAAGGCAAGCCAATTAAAGAGATTTCTCAAAAGACCAGGACTTTTCTGATCAAGGTTGGCCAACCTATGGGTTCACCTTACCTAGGTTAAATAAATGCACCTGCCCATAACATAAGCTACTGGGTTCTGCTTCCCCTTCCTTCCTATAGTAACTCCCCCTTCCTCATTCCCTCTTGTTTTCAGCAGATAATCAGCACAATGGAGACCCAAGTGTCCAATGGCCCCACAAGCAACAGTTCCCTTCCCAATGGGCCACTGATCAGTGCCAATGGCGCCGCTGATGACTCCAAAACTAACCTCATAGTCAACTACCTGCCCCAGAACATGACGCAGGAGGAATTCAAGAGCCTCTTTGGAAGCATTGGAGAGATTGAATCCTGCAAGCTGGTCCGAGACAAGATCACTGGTAAGTCAGCATGGGTTGGGGATCGGAAACTCTCTGGTTCAAGTCAAATGTCACACAGATCTATGGAAAGACATTGTGGAGCTGTGGTGGGCTTTGTGTACAGCAGCTACGAAAAAGCTGAATTCCATGCTAGTAACAATTAGGAGAAGAAAGAAAAGAGTCTGAAAACTTGCCAGTATTGTAATGTGTTTGTGCAGATCCGTGGTGCAGCCCAATTTGGATACAGTGTGTTCCAGATCGGATTTTTACAATTGTAGGACTTTCAGAAGTTACCTAGATTCCCCCAGGCATGCCTCTGGTCCTGGGAGGAGATAAAATAGCAGGCAAAAGAAATGTCTTTCTGCCACCGTTTCCTGGTTCACTACTCATGCTTTACCTGAGTAGCAGAAGGAAACCTTCCTTTAGTCACACTGCTTTCTGGGAGTCTGCTCACTGCTGTATGGGAGGATAGTTCAGTGAGGGGCTCCCCCTATAGAATATAATGGGTTATGAGACTACCCTGTCCATAGACTGCTCAGGCAAACCCCTCAGGCAGCAGCTCAACTGAGGAGGCTTTCCTTTTTTGCTTCCTAGCCAATGTGTGGAGAGAAGCACAATATGGTGCTAGAAAGACATCCCTTTTTGCTTTCTCCTCCCCAAGTCCCAGAAGGTTCCCCGTGGGACTCCAGATGACTTCTGGGACTGAAAGTCCCAGAACTACAGAAGAGCCATCCCTACAGTGTATATTTGTGTCTATTCTACTTCAGCAGGGATATTGTACCACTGAGAAAGGTACAGAGAACTGCAGCCGGACCCATGAGGAGCACTTAACGAAACCCACCTGCGGAATAGAGGGCTGAGAGTCTGATATCCTATTATGCCTCCTGGTCCGAGAGCCAGCCAGCATGGCCTTGAACAAGCCCCAAAGTGACCCCAGGTGAAGGCAAAGCAATTCTGAAGGCTGTTCTTCCTAACATTTTGCCAGTCTCTGTGACTGGCATCTTCAGAGGACAGGAGTTAGAACTCTGTGCTGTGGTGCAGTTTGTTTGGGAGTAGAGAATTCAACTCCCAAACAAATACTCAACTCCCAAACAAACTGCACCAGAGCACAGAGTGCTACTCCTGTCCTCTGAAGATGCCGGCCACAGAGACTGGCGAAATGTTAGGAAGAACAACCTTCAGATCATGGCCGAAGAGCCTGAAAAACCCACAATGACCATTAGATCCCGGCTGTTAAACCCTTGCAAAAAACTCACAACGACCATTAGATCCCGGCTTTGAAACCCTCGCGAATAAATTCTGAGTATTACTCCATACCTGGAAAATCCCGAGAAGCATTGTCATGAGTTAGAATTGGTCTGATAGCACACAATACAATAGTAGAGTAGTCAATTTAGAACAAACAGAAAACATGAGGGAGGGAGGGATGATACCAATTGTTAGATATCGCCTATGGACCTAAGCAATATAGGGCTTAAAACATCATCACCAGCACTTTGAGCTGGGCTCAGAAACAGAGTGGTGGGAAAGTAAAGCTGCTGTAGCAAGGGAGTTACATGCTCCCTGTAAGCAGCTCCGGTCAACAGTCTGGCTGCGTTTTGCCCCAGCTGAAATTTTCAAACTGTCTTCAAAGGTGGCCTCACACCAAAGCTGCTGTAGCAAGGGAGTTACATGCTGTCTTCAAAGGCAGCCTCACACTGTGTGCACTGCAGTAATCCAAATGGTTTGTAACTAAAAGTGTGCATCATTGTGGCCAAATTGGATGTTTCAAGAAACAGGCACAGCTGGTGCACTCGCTTTAACTGTGCAAATGCACTCCTTGCCACTGCTGAGAGCCTAGGCTGCCAAGCTCAAAGATGTGTCAGAGAGTACTCCCAAGCTATGAACTTGGGTTGTAGGGAGAGTGTAACCCCATCCAGGAAAGGTTGAATCCCTATCCCCTGATTGTGCCTTTTGATTGACCAGGAGCACTTCCGTCTTCTCTGGATTAAGTTTTTATTTGTTTGCCCTCATCCAGTCTATCTCCAACACCTGATAATAAAAAGGGTAAAGGTAAAGGTTCCCCTTGACAATTTTTGTCCGGTCGTGTTCGACTCTAGGGGGCGGTGCTCATCCCCATTTCCAAGCCATAGAGCCAGCGTTTTGTCCGAAGGCAATCGTCCGTGGTCACATGGCCAGTGCGACTTAGACACGGAACGCTGTTACCTTCCCACCGAGGGGGTCCCTATTGATCTACTTGCATTTGCATGCTTTCGAACCGCTAGGTTGGCGGGAGCTGGGACGAGCGATAGGCGCTCACTCCGTCGCGTGGATTCGAACTTACAGCTGAAGATCTACAGATCTTACAGCACAGAGGCATCTGCGGTTTAACCTGCAGCACTACCACGTCCCTTGATAATAAAAAGGTTTGTAGCAAATTTGAAGCTGAGGAAGAGAGATAGCCATGTCCCTTAAACAGAACCAAGGGATCTGGCTGTGGAGCCAGAGGTTGGGAGTTCGATTCCCCACTGTGCCTCCTTGCTAGGGGCTGGACGTGATGATCCATAGGGTCCTTTCCAGCTCTGCAGTTCTAAGATTATGTATCACTTGTTTATTAATATTCACAGAGCTGACCCTTCCCTTTGTCTTTGAATGGTAGAATGTGGCTGTTACACCACTTTAAGCGGTGATAGACAGGCTCTGGGAGGCAAGGGTCCAAATTTCAGATCCCCCAGTTCTCCAAAAGTTGCACCAGCCATGAAGAACAAAATTCGGCATGCCTGGAAGTTCACTATATTGGGCCCACCGTTCCCACCCCTGCTATGATGGCTGTTCTGTTGATTAAACTGACTGTAAAATGGAAGATGCCTCTCCTAACATATTTGTGGGATAAAAGTAGTCAGAATGCGGCAGCCTGAGTGATATGGGGTAAAATTACAGTATGTGAAGCATGGGCTTAATCCATTTTTTAGTACCAATTCCTTACTGAAATTTGCATCCCACAAAAGCTGCTATTATACTAGCATTTTTATGTTTCCCACTCTGTCACTAATAGCATCTGCTTTGTGTTTGTGTATCTCTGTGTGCGCATACAGCAATTGGTATCTGAGAACTGACATAAGAGGAGAAGAAAGCCCTCCTCCACACGGTGACCCTGATCCATAGTGCCTTTGCCACTGTCTTCAACCCAATCAGCCAGCACTGATGTCATGTCTAATTTGGATCATAAGCAAATAAGAGTAAACATATGATTTCTAGAGCTGTAGTTCTCATTTTTTTTCTTCTTCTGAAGAAAATTGGCATGTTAATGCTACTGTTATGGAAGTGATAAACTGATTATTAGTTACAAATAGGTATATGCTTGAAACCAAACTCCTGCATTTGGTGATGTAACAAAGGTACAGTGTATGGATGCATAGGGGAGGGCTGTGCACATAACTAGGGGTTATTTTTACATTTTTCCTATAGCTACACACAGCATTTAGAAATATGCTGTATTTTGGTCCCCTCACACACACCCCAATACTTGTCTATTTAAATTCTTACATTTAAACAAGTGAGGGTACAGTCTGATGGATATTTGCCCCACTGTTTAGTTTACTGTGGAAATGGGCAGATGTGCTCCTTTTCTGGCGATCACACAAAATTCCTGAAGTGAATCACCAGTGTTCTCACATCTTCCTATCAGCGACGTCTGTATTTTTGACATGAGTAGAATCACTCCATTTTGGTTCATTTCCAGTGTATGTAATCACTGGAAACAAACCAAAGCCAGCTTGCAGTTTTCAATTTGCTTTCCTTTTTCAATATCCTGTATTATTAAGTGACTTAAGAAGACAGCTTAGCCACTTCATGATATTGGGAAGTAAAACACTAGTCTTCACTGTGTAGACAGGCAGAGGAAATAAAAGGTTTTTAAAAAGCAACCACAGTATTTGGACAGCACTAATGCATTGCATCACTTAGGATTTTTTTTTAATTAAAAAAATTTCCTCTCAGATACGGGAGGAGAGAGGTGGCAATAGGGAAGGAGATCTCTGTGTGTTTGTTGTTGTTTTCAACAGGCAGGTGGACCAGATAGGGATGCAAGGATAATACCAAATGGCATATTGGACTTCTGCCTGGTCTTAAGTGATCTTATTTTGCCTGCTCCAAATGAACCTGGGTTGTTGAACTTTAGTCGTTAAGTCCTGTCCAACTCTTCATAACCCCATGGACCAGAGCACGCCAGCCCCTCCTGTCTTTCACTGCCTCCTAGAGTTGGGTCAAATTCATGTTGGTAGCTTCGGTGACACTGTCCAACCATCTCGTCCTCTGTCGTCCCCTTCTCCTCTTGCCTTCACACTTTCCCGACATCAGGGTCTTTTCCAGGGAGTCTTCTCTGCTCATGAGATGGCCAAAGTATTGGAGCCTCATCTTCAGGATCTGTCCTTCCAGTGAGCACTCAGGGTTGATTTCCTTTAGAATGGATAGGTTTGTTCTCCTTGCAGTCTAGGGGACTCTCAAGAGCCTCCTCCAACACCACAATTTGAAAGCATCAATTCTTCGGCAGTCAGCCTTCTTTATGGTCCAGCTCCCACTTCCATCCATCGCTACTGGAAAAACCATAGTTCTGACTAGGTGGACCTTTGTTCGCAAGGTGATGTCTCTGCTTTTCAAGGTGCTGTCTAGGTTTGTCATTGCTTTCCTCTCAAGAAGCAGGCGTCTTTTAATTACGTGGCTGCTATCACCATCTGCAGTGATCAGGGAGTCCAAGAAAGTATAATCCATCACTGGCTCCATATCTTCCCCTTCTATTTCCCAGGAGGTGATGGGACCAGTGGCCATGATCTTAGTTTTTGGATGTTGAGGTTCAGACCATTTTTGCACTCTCCTCTTTCACCCTCATTAAGAGGTTCTTTAATTCCTCCTCACTTTTTGCCATCTGAATGGTATCATCTGTATATCTGAGGTTGTTGATTTTTCTTCCGGCAGTCTTAATTCCAGTTTGGGATTCCTCCAGTCCGGCCTTTCACACGATGTATTCTGCATATAAGTTAAAT